ATGCCGCAGCGTCGACTTGTGCAGAGCCGGACGAGTCAGGAGAGAATCGGGAAGTCGTCTCCGCTGCAATTGCAGCAGGAAACTGCGACCACATCCTTAGCATCTCTCCTCGTCTTACACGTTGTGTGTGACTTGTAAATTTCCCCAGTTGAAGCTCAGCAGAAGCAACAGCAGCAGTGGCAGAGCCGCTTGATTGAGCGCACGTTTTGCCGGCGCCGAGTCGGACTGTCAGATAGTCAGCAGCGCTTCACTTGACTTTTTATTTAAAATATATATATACTATATGATATAGAGGGATGAAGCACACGAAATTAAACAAAAAAAAAAAAATTTAAGAATGATGCAGTCGGGCATTACCCTCTACACAATACTCATTCGCGGCCGAAATGCTGCCAGATTCTAGTTTTTCCAATTCCAATTTGCCTCGCCCCAACAAATAGATTTTTTTATTTTCAATTTCAAATTTCTAGCATTTATATGAACTGATAGCTAGTTGGACACAAAACCAATATACACATTGCATTTCCATGAATGAGCATAAAGGAAAGGAAATGAAGCAAACGGCTAACTTTTTTTATTTCCCAAGTGTCAGAGCCAGGCCTTGGCGCAATTTTCGTTTGGGTTGCTCTCACGCTCCTCTGGCCGATGGCAGCTCGTACGTGTTTAGTTATCTTACTCCAGGTTTGGTAATGCAACACCTATGGCTGCAGAAGCTTATATCTCAACTGTGGTTTTAAATTTCTGCAATATCATTAGCAACATCATTACATCTGTTGTCTTCTCTGCATTGGTATTCAATGCCTTTGTCTGTATTCAAGTTGAAGCCCACAAGCTCCTAACGGCTCCAGCTGCTGCTGCTGCTGCTGCTCCTGCTGGCATTTTCAGCATGTCATGTCATGAGTATGTAAATTTTTGTAGCTCTCACACACTCTTCATATTCTCGCTCGTGTCTCGCTTTGAATATTATACAGTATTAATGTGAAAAAGTACAGCGTTGATTTCACATGTCTCTCGCAGAGGCGGGGAGGCGAACCCAAGCGGAGGTGGTGAAAAATGTTGCAAAGATGCAAAACAACTGTTGGCAGTTTGTCAAATTTGATTTGTCATACATCAAATGGCTTTAAAATGACAAGAAGCAGGCAACGGGAGCTGCTTTCACCCAAATGACTTTTGACTAGAGAGCTACAAACTGCTCCCACAAATAGACACCATAGCAGAGCCATACAAATTTGATAATAAAAGTGGAAGAAGAAGAGGGGTGAGGAGTGTTCATGTGTAAAAAGGCCCGAGGGCTGCATAACGGCAAATGCAAACTACCAGCACAAGAATTTATGTAAATCAAATACGTTTTCAATCAGTTTCTTATACTAGTTGCGATTAAAGTTGAAGGCGCGACAGAGGCAGAGATAGAGCTTTAATCCGGCTAGGAGTTGCCCTAAATTTAGATTGAGCTTAAAAGATAAATCTACACATATATATGCGATTATTTATAAATTAACTTAGTTAAGGTGGATTCGATATAAGAGTGTAACTGTGCCGGTTTATAAATGATATAAAAAAGAAGCAACTTAAGATCAAAAGCTGAAATTTGATAGACTTAAGAAGGTGGATGGATATGGACCTAGATATACATAGATATTCTTTGATCAGTCTGGGACATTTTGCTCTACAACATTATTTTTTCAAAATTCTATAAACATTTATTAAATTAATGTATAAGTATATTTATTAGAAATAAAATGTAGTTAACATAAACCTACCTATATTCTAGCATTTTACAGACTCACCAAATATAAAAGTCTGGTCTTCTATGCCTGCAATGCTTTTAAGCTTTTCTAATTTATCATGCAAAATATCATCAAACAACATTTGCGTATACTTTTCTTCCAGTTAACCGAGCTGTCGCCATAGCCACCATTAATATAGCGTTCATTATTTGCATCGGCATGAGGCTGCATACATTAACTAAGCTGCAAAGTGGCGCTATTTGTGTTGTGCTTCTAAGTAGCTCATTCATTTAGTTAATATTCTAATATAAATTTCAACGCACTCCATAAAAAGTGCAGCACTCGAAGGGCGAGAGCCGCTTAAGAACACGGCTGGAATACCGTCAGGAACTGCCGCCAGCCATGCAAACAGTTTGGGCCAACTTAGTCGGCTGCCGGCCAGGACTAAGGGCAGACACACTCGGGCAGAGACAAGCGACTGTCTGAAGGACATGAAATGAAACTCATTTGCTGCATTGGGCCCGGTGAGCAAGCGGGCTAAGTGGGCTGGCAAATGCCACAGTTGGTTTTTACCCAGACCTGGCTGACTGCCTGCTTGGCAGTTGTGCAGCGTGACACGCAAATTGCCAGGATACACACAGTGAAACACACACAGACACAGGCACAGACACCCACACACACAGCTAGACAATGCAGCGTGTTTAACTTCGCCTCCGACAAGTCAAGTGGGAGCACAATGGACTCCGACAGCCCAGACACTCATTTGCTGGCTGCCGTAGCAGCTGCCGTTAGCTGGGCCAGTATGACCATGACTAATTTGTTAGCAATTATGTTGGATTGACATCGCCGGACTGGGCGATTACCATAATTGTTGGTTTGAGCAACCGCCCACAGGTGTGACTTTCATGAACTTACATTACTCATTGCTACCGCACGACAGCACTTCAGGTGTTTGGGGCAAAAAGGCGTAAAACTAACATTGATTTTCATAAATAATTCTTAATTTGTAGAGTTGGCTGTTGTTGCTAACGCTATAGCGTAAAGTAGTATGCTCTAGACAGTAGTCAGATGGTAAAAGTATCCCCAAGATACAATAGTGAAGTAATAAACAAATTCTGTACAGCGTATAATTGAATAAGATGTAAAAGAATCTTTAGAAAGCTAAGGTATGCATACGATGCTATCTGTGAAATAATAGATTTACTTTGTATAAGATACAATTGAACAAGATATAAAAGCATCTTCAATATGTAGAAGTACCACAAGATACCAAAGTATCTCTACAATATAAAAATTTGAATAAGATACAAAAGTATCTTCAACAAGTGGAAGTAGCACATCTATGAAAGAGTAGGTTAGCTCGTTTAAAATGCAATTAAATAAGATACAAAAGTATCTTCAAGAAGAAGTATCACAAGATACTAAAGTCCTAGTATAATATAAAAGTGCAAAAAGTGTGAATAAGATACAAAAGCATCTTCAACAACATCTGTGAAATAGTAGACTAACTCAGTTTGAGATACAGTTGAAAAAGATACAAAAATATCTTCAATATGTAGAGGTAACAATTATAATATTTTAACTCTGTTTGAGATACAATTGAATACATACATACAAAAGTGTCTTCTTCAACAAGTAGAAGAGACTAAAGTATCTGTAATATATAAAAGTGCTAATAAGATACAAACGTATCTTCAATTAGTAAAAGTAGAACATAATAATATAATATCTATGAAAGATTAAAGATTAAAAACGATACAAAGGTGTTTTAAGCAGTTAGAAGTATCACAAGACACTAAAGTATCTGTATAATATTAAAGTGTGAGCATGATACAAATGTATCCTCAACATTCCAAAAGCTTTTTTGCATCTATGAGATATTAAAGTATCGTTCAAATATCTTAAGGACTAAAAGTCGCTATTACATATTTAAATACCTATTAGATACAAGAGTATTTTTGAGTTTGAGTGCTTACAAGGCGCATATCTTTTTGAAAGTTTCACATCTACGTAGTTATAAAAAACTTATGAAGTAAACTCTTTGCTTCTGCGTGTACTGTATATTGCGATCTATTATCTGCAATCGATGTACATTAAAATATTATTATACATACAGATATACTACGTAAATTGACAATGACAGCACTCACTGTAGTTATTTCAGAGCATTTCATAGTCAACTTACGCTCGACTCCTTAACTTGTTAACCTCAGCTTCAACTACTTAATGACTTAAACAACTAACTACAATGTAAAGTCTCGCATAAAGTTTCCACTCTAAAAGTCAGTCAAATGCAAAACCGCAGTGTTTTTGGGGGCGTCTCAGGCAACACCAAATGGCAGAGGATGTGGAGATGGGGCAGGAGCTGAAAAGGGAGACACAGACCGCAGCTCTGCATGTTTAACAATTTGCACTTAATTGTTTAGCTCGACAGCAGCAACAACAACAACGATTACGAGACAACTGACAACAGCAGCAACAAGAACAACAAGTACAACACAAGTATAACACATTTACAAGCATATTGTAATTAATTTATGTGAAGTATTTGGGGAGCTGCTTTAAGTGAGCCACTAAATAGTTTCATTTTCGTTTGCACGTGAATTTTTGACTACTGCTGCTGCTGCTGAAGCTCTTGACCATTTGATACGCCCACTTAATTGTGCGGTCATCGAGGAACCACTGGGCGTGGTCTGCGGCTGGCAATTAGTGCAGCTGAGCGAGCGAAGTAGTGGCAATTGTTAGATAGTAGGATGGTAAGCGTATTAGTGAGAGACTTGTCCCTTTAATATTTTTTTAGATCCAAAAATGTCCTTAGGGACAGCAAAATATCTACGAGATGTAAAAATATCTTTGAAATACTCAAATATCTTTAATAGAAACAAATTTTTGAGATGTTTTGAGAATTATTAACAAGATATAAAAGTATCTATAAAACAGTAAAATTGATTTAAGATTCAATCTGTTAAATAAGAAATTATCTTTAAAATGTGAGAGTAGCTTCAATAATATATATAGTATATTATCCTAAAAATACTCATGAATCTACAGATCCATTATTTATTTGAAAAACACCAGATAGAAATAGGAAGTTCCAGACGTGCATTTAGGACTGTCTGAAAAACTAAATTTGCTAAATACAGAAATATCCAAAAATATCTCATTCATTAGTTTTAGAGAAAGCTTATACTACGTAAAGCCCTTGAATGTATTAGTTTGGTACGTAGCTCGAGGAATTAGGTCAAGATGTATCATATATGGGTACAGTAATTAAGTATTTATTGGATTTGACGAAAATGTCATTTGAAATTTAAATCAAAAAAACTTTAAAAACAAATTATAAAATAAAAACGTTCATGTAGAAGGGTAACTTATACTTTATGACTAAATTGAAAGAGAATCATGAACAAAGACCGGCTCATAAACCGCCCAACCCAATTTTTCCTATTATTGCTGGCGGTTGCTCGAGTATTGTGGATGCGTTGCTGATGCAGCCATTGGATGTGATCACGACTCGACTGCAACTGCAGAGCGATATGGTCATAGGGGGTCATCACTATACGGGCATGTTGGATGCCTTCAAGACAATGTATCGCGAGGAAGGCATCACATCATTCTGGAAAGGCCTAGTGCCCGTTTTACTGGTTGACACACCAAGGCGAACAATTAAGTTTCTGGTCTTTGAGCAATCCAAGCAGTATTTCATGTTTGGTGAGAAGCATCCGACGCCCTTGACTTACTTTTTAGCTGGCGGATCGGGGGGCATGGTGGAAGCCATTGTTCAAAACCCTTTCGAAGTAGTCAAGGTTTCACAGCAGGCAAGTCACCAGCCAGTTCACACGATGCAGATGGCAAGAACTATAATTCGAAATGAAGGCTTCGGCTTTCGGGGACTGTACAAGGGCATGTCAACGACGGTGACTCGAAATTTTATTTTTAATGCCATATATTTTGGAATCTATTGGACAGTTCGAGATGCAACGCCCACCTATAAAAATGCTTTTTACGACTTTTTGCGCACTGTTGCAATCGCTTGTGCGGCCAGCTTATTTGGCTGTGTGGCAAGTCTTCCCCTAGACGCGGTAAAGACGAGAATACAAGGACCACAGCCGGTGCCGGGTAAAATCAAATACAGGAGCACGTTCCAGACTCTTTATACAATATCTAAAGAAGAGGGCTGGACGACATTATACAAGGGCCTACTTCCGGTGGTGCTACGAATGGTGCCTGGCGGAGCTATTTTGCTCATAGGTTACGAGTTCATCAACAAGCTGTTAGTGCTAAAGTTCAGCCAATAAACATTAACTAAATTCAATAAATGTCAAATTGATCTAATTAGGAAGGAGACACCGTTAACCTAGCGAATTAATGCAACTCTACGTTACATGCATTAAAAGAAACACTTCCAAATCTAATACATAAACAAGTAAGAAAGCTCTAGTCGAGACTACTCGACTACGAGATCCCCTGAACCCTTGGAGTAATAGCTATTTCAATAATTTTTCGCGTCTTTCAGCTTACACAAGAAACACGCTCACACACACACACACACACACACAAACACACACACATACACAAACATTTACATACACATACACACACAAGCATAAACACGCATGGGCGGCAGTGAGCGCTTACTATGAGAACTTAATTGCTTAATAACTTTTTTTGTGGACGTACTATCTTCATGAAACTTTCAGATTATGATTATAACTTGAATATGCATGTAATTGCCAAAGCACAAGTCTCTAGTATTTGAAATACGCTTTTTACAAAAGTGATGGTGAGGGGGTGAATTTAAGGGTGGGGAGTAAATTTTAACAAAAACCGAAATTGTATAAATTGCATATAAGCATACATTAAAAATTTGGAGACTCTAGCAATAAAGGTGTAGAAGATATAATTTTATAACTGGTTTTCGATAAGGTTTTTTATCGATAAAAAAAAGATCGGGATGATTTATCGATTTTAAATGATAAACTTGATATGCGCGCTGTAATTACGGACATTTTAAAAAAAATTTGAAGTCTCTAGCTCTTATATCTTCTGAAATCGACGCGTTCATACATACGGACAGACGGACAGACGGACGGACGGACAGACGGACAGACGGACAGACAGACGGACAGGGCCAAATCAACTCAGCTCGTCGCCCTGATCAAGAATATATATACATTGTGGGGTCTGCCACGCCTCCTTCTGCCTGTTACATACATTTCAACAAAACCATTATACCCTGATTTCCCATTGAAAATGGGTTCAGGGTATAAAAAAATTGGTTGGTGGATTAATGTTTCCATATGTTGTGGTATTCAATCGACTCAAAAATCAAAGTGTTATGATTGATATTGATCGATATGAAGAAACGGAATAGTTATCGGAGTAATTTATAATGAATAAATTATCGTATGGTACAGAGAAAAATAAAACTAACTAAATAAAAATAAACAATTCAATTGCTCTAAAATGTTAATTAAATATAAAGAAATGTTTCTATGAAATTGAAATTATAGTCATTTGGAATTTAAATCAGTTCCAAGTAACTGTAAAAATTTAAATGAAAATTTAAAAAATAAACCCCCCCCTCAAATATATTTTATGACTAAATTGAAAGTGAAGTATGGAAGAGACCCGAATTATAAGCCACAAAATCCAATTTTTCAACTCATTGCGGGTGGTTGCTCGAGCATGGTGGACGTGATGCTGATGCAGCCATTGGATGTGATCACGACTCGATTGCAGTTGCAGAACGATACGATCATGGGGCCAGATCACTATGCTGGCATGTCTGATGCAATTAAAAAGATATATCGCAAGGAAGGTATGACAGCATTCTGGCGAGGCTTGGTGCCAGTTTTGGTGATTGACACACCGAAGCGATCAATTAAGTTTCTGGTCTTCGATCAATCCCAGCAGCTCTTTATGTTTGGTGCTCCATGGCCTAGCCCGCCGACTTATGCGTTTGCCGGTGGATTGGGTGGCATTGTGGAAGCACTAATTCAAAATCCCTTTGAAATAATTAAGATAACACAGCAGGCAAGCCGGCAGAAGCTTCCTTCGATACAAGTGGCAAAGAAAATAATTGAAAATCAAGGTTATGGCCTACATGGATTGTACCGGGGCATGCCAACGATGGTGGCACGAAATGTTGTCTTTAATGTCATTTATTTTGGGTCCTATTGGTCGGTTCGCGATGCAACGCCCACGTGCCAACGTTTTGAGTTTCTGCGTAATTTTACAATTGCTTGTGCAGCCAGTTTATTGAGCTGCGTGGCAAGTCTTCCACTAGATATTGTAAAGACGAGGATACAGGGTCCACAGCCGGTGCCGGGTAAAGTCAAGTATAGCGGTACACTCAACACAGTTTTACAGATATGCAGAGAAGAGGGTTGGAAGGCACTGTATAAGGGCCTGCTCCCGGTGACGATACGAATGGTGCCTGGCGGTGCTATTTTGCTTGTAGGTTATGAGTATATCATCAAGTTATTGGTGTCAAAGTACAACAAATAAAATCAGACCTTTTTTTTATTTTCCAAACTAAATTTAATGGAATGATAACGAATTTCAGCAAGGAAGTGAGAGAGTGATGAGGTCTGTCACGCCTCTTTCTACGCGTTACATACTCTTAATAAAACTATTATAGCCTAAATTACCATTTTATATGGGTTCAGGGTACAGAAACTCTAGTCTTAAATATATACGATGTATGATTTCATAATAAAATATAAAACATATCTCCTACAATATTAGATGTAAAGACTTTAAATTTTAAATATTAACTTAGATGAATTTTATACCATTCTGATTTTTTTTATATTTTTGATACCGACTCAAACTCTAGCCCCTTCCCTCAAATAGTAGAGGCGTGTACTTTGACAAATATTTAGAGGGTTCACGAGATCTAGAGCATGATGAACTATAATAATTGCATATGAAGTCAAATAATAATATTACAGCTAAACTAATTGCTGCCAGATTTCAATATTTGACTGTCCCATATATGCAAGAGCTAAGTGAGCAGTACCATTCAAATGATTAACTAATAGAGATGCAAAATAAACAAATTAAGCAAACAACGAACGCAATGCGCAGTTGATGCTGGGGACAATTAAACAAGTTGAGCAACAAATCGAATCGTCCTCATACGACAATGACGAAACAACAATATATCAAACAATAAATGTGTTTTGGCTTTTCTGGGCAACGAAAATGTCTCCAGGGTCAATTTCGCATGCATACGAATTGCCGCACACACACACACACAGACACAGAGAAAGAGAGAAGAAGAGGGGGCGGAGAGAGAGGCACTCATACAAGCTCGAAATATACATAGATTAGTGTAATTACGAGTACAGCCATGCGGCAGTGGAATTATGTCAATGTTGGCTCTAAGGCATTTCACTGCATTTCACTGAATTGCAGATAGAGGGAGATAGTTGCATACCCTGATTGAGCGAGTGCGAGAGAGATATAGAGATAGACAGTTTGGGTGAGTGTTTGGCATTAACAACATGATGCTGGTTACATTTTGGCATCTGGCAAATTCAGCTTTTGATTTCATTTCATTACCCACTGCAATTTCAACTATGAATAATTGAATATGTGCATTGCATACTTTAAGGCATCAAATTGCCATTGCATTGAAATGGTTGTAGTTGTTGTTATTGTAGTTGTTGTTGTTGTTGTTGTTGTTGTCATGCTTTTGGCTAATTCAGCTGGAATATGCCTATTACGCATTAAACCCAATTAAGCACGAACATTTCGACTGACACCCGCCTCCGTTTGCCTCGCTTCAAAGCAATTGACTAAAGTTTCCAAATATCATTGTTTGCCTTTGATTAATGTCAATTTTAAATCGTCAAACATTTAACATTTTGCCCGCGGGAAGCTGATAATACACATGTGCCTAAATATGTGTAAGATGGAACATCTAAATATATAGATAAGCTTACCTAATTATATCGCCATATATACGATATAATTATTTTATTTTTAAACTTGAAGAATGCGATGAGTGATATTTTACTTGTATTATTTTATATTATATATATAATTTATTAAATATATATAATATATAATTTATTATATTATTATGTTATATTATATTATAAGCAATAATAATTATATATAATAGAAGATAATAGTTGGTCAGAATTTTACATAATTCCAATAGCTCCTAAAATTGCCTAAGGCCAATTAAACGTTAACTATAAAAAATAAGAATAATGTACAATTATTTATTAACTTAAGCAACAATAATCCGAATCGCATGATTTCTCAAATTTCTATAATTTTAAGCTGTATTTACAAGCTTCAGCTATAATCCTTCCAATGTGGGCTTAAGTTGTTGAAAAAAAAGACACATAATTAAATCAGTGGCATTATTATTTGAATGCCCTAAATGAAGCCATTAAGCCGTTCAGTTTTATTAAAATTTATCCAGCTATCACTTTTATTGCTTTTGAGTCAATTAAGCCTCGCAAATGCCACACATAATTCCAATAAAAGTGCACAATTCGAACGGGACTTCAACACACTTCAAATTCAACAATGGGCGAACGCTCAATCAACATGGGTCGAATCGCTAATAGAAAACCGGAAAAAATTTGGGCATTTTGATAAATTCAGCACAAATGAATTGAGTTAACAGAAATGAAAAGCGGCCAATGGAAACCTAATTGTTGTCGCATTTCGCTTTATCTCTGTCAGTATATAAATTGGTTCCTTTAACTGCCTCGATGCTGTTGTCTAGTCAATAAAATATGAATTATTTGAAATATTTTGGCGTACGAATAAATCGAATGCCAACACTCAGCATCAAAGCATCGAGTAAAATAGTAAAGAAAATAATAAATATAAAAAATACTGCAAAAAATATATATATTTCATATTTTCTTTTATTTTGATTTATTTATTTTTTTAGTTTTTAGTCTGGCCACAAATTTTTTATCAGCACATAGCACAAAATTTCGTATACGTCATGTGATTGCGGTTGAATGCCTGTTTCTGTTATTCTTGTTCTTGTTATTGTTGTTGTTGCGGTTGTCTAAATAAATTTTTTATTGACCATGGTTAACGCTTCAGTGGGCAATAAACGTGCGCGAGGCAGTCAAACAGACCTCACGTTGGTTCGGGGGGTAGAATTTTCGGTTCACACCAAGAGTGAAAAGCACAAAAACCACAGAGAGAAATTTGCTGGCCGCCAACTGCTGTTGCCAGTGTTGGCCAACGCCTCGAAGCATGCCACAAGTTATTTGACTTACACACACCCACACACACACACAGAGGCACGCACTGCCCACTCAAGTGTGTGTGCGTG